TGTCAAAACGTGTGAGGGAGGCGGTTGGTTGATTAATAATAAAGCTTTTGGGTAAAACAATGTTTGTAACCGTAGGATTCTGACATTATTTTTTTTTCTCGTAAATCATGCGCACGATTTGAATCCGTGATCAATGCCAAGCAAGGAGAAAGGAGACGAAGAAAAGAGTACAAGAAAAAAAAACAAAAAAAAAACAAATAACAAAACAAAACAAAACAAAAAAGAAAAGAATTTTGACCTCCATTCTTCATTTCCACAGGCTCATCGACAACAATTCCGAATCTGCGCGAGTGCACATCAACCGGATTCAATAGATTTGTTTATATTTCGCATCTAAAACACAAAAATTTGTGTGCATCATGAAAGTATGCTATTCCCCAAATAAAGGAATTCTCACAGGATAACTTCATTTTTTTTTTTTTTTATTTATTGAAAAAGGGAATGGTTGGATGCGCCTTTGCATGCGTGCCTTTATTTGGAAATGATGTAATAACGACGACGTTCTCATGAGAGGAAAAATCCGTTGAAGTGTTCCTTCCTTTGATCGCACGAATCAAGTTTCAACGTCCTCAAACTTTCGACCGAATATATTGCCGCCACCACAGGTCCGCCAACTGAGACCAGCTGAGCTGACATCAGAGGGTGCGTGGGTAAAAAAAAAAAGGAAAAAAAAGAAAAAGAGAGAAACACCTGAACCACAACAATGCGTCGTCGGTCGAATTGGCCGCACGATGGTTAGCCGGTAATGATTGTGCGACCGTCTGTCGTCTTATCATAATAGACATGACGAGTTCAACTTAACCATCTGGGTGAATGCATTCTATTTTGGACAATTTAGGGATCCCCGACTATGGGTTAGAATCAGACGAGAACAATATGAAGAATCGGGTGCCATCACAAATAATCGGCGCGTGTCCTACCCACGCTCATCATCGTCTGGGTGGTGTTTCCAACCATATTATGACGTGCCTCAGATTAGTTTGTTTGCAGTCTTCGTAGCGATATTGAAAAGGAGTGCGATCGTCATCTTCTGCGCGCGCATTCTTGTCATGTGCTGCGGTGCATGCATGTATGATCGTACGTTGCGTTGATTAAATGAATAGCCGACGTGTTCCTAGAGACACGCTACTGGTTAAAATAGTCGGCGAACTTGTTCGTTAATTAATTGATAGAATGGTCATGATGCATGCTAGTAATTAAATATTTACCAATAATCGTCACAATCCCATGTATGACGTTGATTAACGTGTCACACCTCATTATGGCTGAATATTGTTTTACATTGGATATGCGGGGGTGGAAGAAGCAAATTGTGTGTGTGTGGTGTGTGTGTGCGCGTGTGTGTACTGTGTGATGAGGGTCATGGTACATTCCCTTGTAGAGCACCGCGGTCAAAGACGTCGTCCTTGTGAAATCCCTGTGTATGACCCTGAGGGCTTGGGACATGATGCAGGCTTGTCCAGGAGCTTAATAATAGTGTTTGTGCGTACGTGTGTGTGTGTGCGCGCGCTTAATTAATAAAGGCGGGAAAGACGTCTGATCCAGAAAAAGGCGGGAACTTACGTTTGCAACGCCAGATGATACCTGAATGAATGGATACAATGAGGCGCGATTACCATTCGCAATAGCGACAGAGGCATCAAACAACCCACGCACATCATTCTTATTAGTTGCAGAGCCGTGAAATGCATGGATATGATAATATCAATAGATGGATTGGGTGAATGAACGATTCCTGTGACAAGGAAAAATAAAAACCCTTTATTTTTTTGCTTTTTTCTCGGAGTAATTTGGGTGTTTGAAATTAACCTAAAAACGGCATATGCATAATGATGCCCCGATTAACTAGCATGCAATGAAAATGTATAGTAAGTGAGAAAATCAAGTCTTATTAAATTGTTGTTCTACGTTTCCCTCTCTTTACATTGTACACGGTTCTACAACATCCCTCCGTGGATAGGCTAAACCAAGTTTGTGCAAGCGGTCACCTACAAAATGACTAAAGTAACTAAAAACAATAGAAACAATGACATCTTTTTTTTTATTTCTAAAAAAACATCATTTATATGTGTTATATTCAACATCGCGGTTATACTTTAATAATGTGGTTGCATTTTTTTTTTTTGTAGCACCTCGGTATCTATTATATGCCATTTTATTTGTGTGTTCGCTGCATAAAATACGCATGTAACTCAGCGCTTCTTTATCAAATTCACCACACATGAGGGCCAATTTGCTCAATCTTTCCTCTCGACAGAGTCGCATGGCGAATCACATGACTTTGATGTTGAGCATGTGCGTTAGATGGTTAGATGACCGACCAACCCGACCAACTTGAAAGAAGAATGATGCAAACAATAATGTAAATGCGTGCGAAAATAGTTTTATTATTATTATTATTATTATTATTATTAAGGTATTTCTCTACACCTGATGAAAGAGTAGTGGTGGTGGTGGCCTTGCACGACTGGCACTGGCGACGTTTGGCGTGAACTAATGAATCGAAGTTTCGAAGTTAAAAAAATTTTTTTGGTTCGCATGGTGCCTGACGGACGAATGTGGGACAATTTAACGGGGCCCCAAAAAAGGTACATAATTTTCATTGTTCTACCATAAGGATCGTTGCCTATTATAAAAAAAAAAAAAAAAAAAAAAAAAAAAAAAAAAAGATTTTTTAATTACGATTTCCCTTTCCTTTTTTCGTTTTCTTTTTGAGGATGAAAATAAAGAAAATAATAATAAACAACATTAACTAATGAGGCATGGAAACGTGTATCACCCAACGCCCTGACGGATGACAAGTCAAGCGATTCCCATAACGGTCGGATACGTCCTCCTTAATAACATTTGTTTTTACCACGTTTTAAGCTCACCGCCGATAATACGTAAATGATATCATCTCGTGAATGACAAAAGCGTTCGTCTTCCTTCCGCTCGACATTTAAACAAACAAATAACCTGACCACCAGTCGATTCGAAAATTTACGTTGTTGTAACCGCAACAAGGCTCTTACGCGATAAGGTTTGTTGACAAGGTTCTGTGAGCCTCGGTGATGATTCATTCATTCAGAGGTCAGGGAACGCCGCGTCTTCCTTCAATCTCTCGATCCCCGTCGACCATTTGCCGCAGATCGAGATTCAATGGACCTCTGTGTGTGTGTCAGGTCTCAAGGGGACAAGGATAATTTTGGTGCCTCATGGTTACTTGTTCTGAGAATTCCTTTGTTCGAAAATCAAGTTTTTGTTGCATAATCCTGAAATCCTGTTGTTGTCACCCTTCCATTTTTGACCCAGGCCTATTTAAGATTTCATATTTAAGTGATGTGCATGCGTCTTTATGTACTTCCCTATGGACAAACATTGGACGCCGCTCTCACACCATCTTTCCTAATCTCTCTTTAATAAATACTTTTTTACGCTAAATTTAAAAAATTCCCGTCAATTAGAGGTCAAAATGGGCTTCCATATGCGCGAGAAAATCGGTTTCCAATATAAACAAATTCCTTGGAACCGACCACGAGAGTTCACCCGACGTTTAATTTATCCAAGGTAATCGGAATTTTCCTAATCTAAATTGAATTAAGGTGGTGAACCGCACGGTCACCACCAGCGGTACTCCTAGAAGACCAACCTGATCAATAACCTGTAGTGATCTTGTCCGAAGGGACAATAGTTGTTTCACCTTCACTAAAAATCCTATTACAGTAATTAAAAAAGTAAATTGTTTTTGTTTTGTTTAATTTCCTTAAAGTGCACCAATCACACCACGCGAAAAAGATGTATGCAAGCGAGGTGACACGACCAATCATAAATCTCCTTACGACAAAGACGGCGATCAACAAAATGGCGCCAAAAGAAACACAGGCAGTTGTATTTTTTTTTTTTTTTTTTTTTTTTTTTTTTCTTGTTACCAAAATTGTACAAGGGTTGTTCCAACTCGGTTGCGAGACCTTGTTGGGATGTCAGAGCCGAGAATAATTTTGTGATGATGGCATAGAATTGCAAAGTATAGTCGGGTGTTTGGTTTTTCATTCATGCACGGCCATCAGTTATTTACGACTACGGTATTGTGATTTTTGGCTCAAATTTAACTATATCGGCCAGAGGGCATTACTTGTAATCAAAAATTACGGTTCAACCCTTTTTTTTTTTTTTTTTTTAAGTTTACCAATGACCCCATAAAGATCTTTGTTACTGATAATAATTTGATTACAACATCGATGGGCTTCTAATTTCCCTATTCGTTCATAACGCACAAAATAATTGACTCATCTTACCTAAATCTCATGGTATCATAAGTCATGTCTGACACGTAATTACCAAATCCTATCGCCCTTTCTGTTCGCTATTGTGCCTTTTCTTTTTTCCTTAATCAAATTTCCATATCGAGACTGTATGTGCTTTTCTCATTATCTTCTCGTGAAATTTTTTTGGGGGATGAATGAGGTTCATTGTTTTTTTTTTTTTTTTTTTTTTTTTTTTTTTTTTTCTTTCTTGAATGAAATGAAATTCGTAATTGATAAGGAAGAAGTTTTTTTCTTTCTTTTTATTATTATTATTATTATTTTTATCGCTGTTCAATGCGAACCCCGAATATACTTCACCAGCTCATTCATAATTCCCATTTTTTGATGCTCGTTGTCCAACAACAACGTCGACCCTCTCGATAGGTTGCGCCAGCGGTTCATTGTCAAGGTGGATGAAAATAATGCAACGGATGATCAGCCGCACAATACTAAGAATCTTCCCTCACATTGACACAAGAAGGATTCAACAATGGTTTTCACTTGATAAGCACGCGTTGACTTCATAGAGGCTTTCCAAAAAAAAAAAAATTAAAATAAAAAAAATCTTTTTTTTTTTTTTTTTTTTTTTTTTTGCTTCCCACTTTCAGAAATTTAAAATTATCACAATGGTATATCTTTTTTGAGAAAACGACTTTTCCCTACAGCCGAACGTCAACGTTAAATGCGATACCGAATCTTCTAGAATCAGAAACAATGCACCAGCACACCAATCAACAAGGCCGTAGAAACCTCGAAGACAATGCATGGACCAAATTGAGCTCGAGCGCCTTTTGTAATAATCAAGTCCTTGCCCGGTTATTGTACGAATTTTTAAAGTCGTCCGTCTACCTTAATTTGATTGTGTAAAGATAAGTGAATAAATAAATACAGTAAATAAATTCCTTTAGCTGGATGTTTATTAGTTAAGCAGATAAATACTGTAGTTACAGTATAATATCACCAACTATAGATTATTAATTTATTATTGGCATTGGCTACTTCATAATTTTTCTTGTTCGTCACAATTCGGAGCAGCTCAACATTTGCAATGTGCATTAAACAAACACATGAAACCAATTTTACTACCAAAAAAGAAAAAAGAACTTTTTTAAAATAAAATAAAATAAATAAATTAAATTAAAATAAAATAAAATATTTAACATTTAACATCCCATGAATCTAGTGCGTGACATCAATTATTTTTTAACTATTGTAGATTAGCACAACAATTGAAATTGTTCCGAATGACCTTGAAAGCAATTGATTCCATCGAATTATTCGAGCAACAGAATTTATAATAATCAACACCACCAAGAAACCAATTCACATTTAAAAAGCTCGACGTCCGAAGGCGGAAACCGAAGGTTACTACTGTTCGAAACGAGACTCCCGTCCGCGGGTCTGAAACTGAGTGGTGAGTAGTGCGGAACATTGGGAGACGGAGGTCGTTTCACTTCCTCCGGACATTGCTTCGAGCGAGGTGACACCTATTACTAAATGTGTTACAATCGCCATCAATACCATTCCATTCTGCGACCACAACATCGACAATGAATAATGAGATTAACAAATTTGTGCGAACAATGTGACGGCCTAATAAGAGTGCAGTTCCCAACATCTCATCAAAATGTCGTGAGAGCAAAATATTCAGGAGTTGACGAATTATTCGGGTTAAAGTTTTTATGGAATTCGACGATCATTTATTTGTTGTTACCATGCATCATTGTTCTCTTTCCTCACCGATCTTCCCTGTCGTGAGCTTAATCCATTAATGAATTTTGAGTACTAGGCAGGGGAATGTTCACTTGATAAATTGTTGTTTCTCGGTGTTAATTTAATTGACTTGCGCTAATTGTGTTGGTAAATCAATTGGAGGCCCTTAAATTACAGTGTCTTGTATTCGTTAACTCAGTTCTAACGGTGGAATCTCTATGGCACGACTTCGTTGTACGTGTTGACAAAAATTGTGAGCCGAGGGAATTACCGAGTTGTGTAGAACAGGGCACAAAATTTAACAGCCAGAAATAATTGCAGGGAGTCCATATTGGATTATTTAATGATAACATTGTATGCAACGAGTGAATTTTTTTTTTTTTCCTCCACAAATTATATTAAAATGGCTAGCCTAGATTGGTCCCGAATCGATCTAAGCCCGAATTAGGTTAATATTTTAATTAAGACAAATTCGGATGAGTCTTTGAAAAGACACAAATTTCGATGTTTCAATGGAATCTGTGCGCAGCTGGCATGACGCGTATCATAAAGTTGCGATTGTTATCCTTTTGTCCCGTCAAGGTTGAAATAAAGGTCCGAATATGAATCAATTCTTCGTGTTCTCACGCTTCCAATGATAGCAATTGGAGGATGGTGACCTCGAACTTTAAGGTTGACAAAAATTTCTGCGAAGATCTTCCGTCGTGCAATACGGGGTTAAAAACCTTATCACCCACCCACCCATCCATCCATCCATTCATTGTCCAGCAATTAAAATGGTCACTCACCTGATTATTCGTGAGCTCCACCTGTACCCCCCGCCGGAAGAATAATTATTTTCTTTTAGCGGTTGTTGAGCATTTCAAATTTTGTTCCATACCGAATGATGTGTGTACATATGACTCGGCATTGTACTGTACATATGAATACAATAAACTTTTACTGCAATTGGGATTCGACCATCAACGATTAGATTTGTCTTTTCTATTTGGGGGCTGACGTCCTCCAATCATGATGGTTTCTCTCATCGCACCACTAAACAATGCATTATATTTAGTTACTGTATATGCACACCAAGATTTTTAGGGGTTCCAATTTTCGGTTGACGTGATGGACGTGATGACGGAGGGAAAAAAAAAATTTTTTTTTTTTTTTATCATCACTTCAGGAAGAGCACCGCAACAATCGACGGGGAGTAACGGGTAGACTGTTCTGAGACTAGTTACTTGAATCTCAAACCTTCCCAAAACGAAGTTTTTCCACGAGGAAACACAAACTTGCAGCTCTCGGGGTGAAAGCCCATCACTTGACAGGTCTTAAATTAATAGATCGGATACCGCTCCAAAAAAAGAGATGACACATTGAGGAAGCACTCGCAGGCTGTTCCGTCGATTTTCATTGTAGTTCTTTTTTTTTTTCTTTTTCAAGGATCTCCACGCCTTTTGAACAATTCAATTCTTTTGGACATGTGTACAACACAGTTATAATGGATTATCGTCATCTAATTTCCTAATTTATTTTACGGTAGCCTCAACCTTATTTCACTCGAAACAATGATTATCAAAGTCGATCGACAATATGCGGAAACGAACACGTCGGTTTCCTTGTTCCACTTTCATGCTCGAAAATGATAATGATAATTTTTTAAAGTCGTGTTGGTGAAGGGCCGACTTTTTTTTTTTTTTTTTTTTTTTTTTTTTCACAATCATTTTTCCGTATCCATAAATAATTGTTGCCGGCATATTTGACGATAAAGTCAATTCTAATGCGTAAAGAAGCCTTCTGAACACAAAAACGAACCTTTTCCGGGTTAAATAAGAAAACATTCAAGAATGCTAATTACAACTGGTCGGGCATTGTTATGATGGTGGCACAACTCATTGTCCAGATGGTGGCACAAACTCATTTGACCAAATCCTATTCTGAGGAAAACACGCATGACACCATCCCGTCTTTTCTACATACGTATGTGTCCCAAAAATTTGCTATTCACGTTTTAGCCGCCACCTCACATAATGGTTTATTTCAAACCACATTATTCTCCGCGCCAACACTCGGGACCATCACCAAAACAAATAACAAACAGGAGCAATGAAAAAAAACAAAGAAAAAAAAAAAAAAAAAAGGAACGACAAAACAAACATCATCAAAAAAAAAAACAATAATACCCTTGGAACAAATAGGCTGGTTTCTTTTTTTCTTTTTTTTTTTTTTTACATGATTATGACATTCTCAGGTAAGATGACTATTTGTGCTCAACCACAATGAAGCTTTATATTTATTCTACCACAAAGATTACACGAGGACGTTTGTAAACAAGAAATTTCAGGATTTCCAAAGAGAACGATTGTTTTGCTTGTTTTTTAAGGGTTTCTGACACGAGTTAAGATGAGAGCACGTTACCCGATGACAACGATCGTTGCTGATAAATCCTTGTATCATTTTCATGAGACCAAAACTTTATATTACCACGATTTCGCCAGGAAATCCCTGAGTAATGATGACATTGTGATACTGTTATAAAAATAATAGAAATAATGATAATGAATCCATAAATAGGGTCAATAAAAACAACACGCTATGGCACCATTGCACACTAGTTTGGATTCAAGGAAAGATTTAAAAACAAGAATGAAATCCTGTTAAAATCCCTTCGTGTTTATCATTCTCTTTGTGTGTATGCGCCTGTGTCACAACAGTATAAGGGCATCGCATTCAACCAAAGGAACACATCAGACAAAGGCTTAATATTTTAATTGAGTGGGACCACGTGAAATTTACCAAATATTTTTTCTAACCGCTCACTCATAGTGATCACTCGGAGCATGCGCATTTATATGAACCAATCCATTACGGTAAGTCTTTATCCTCGTGCAAACAAGTTTTTTTTTTTAATAATAACCGGTTACACTCGGAATTCCTGATGAAACAATAAAGTTTTATTTATGACTAATTCCTTATTGTTATGAAATCCTTGAAATGACACCTAATTATGGAAATTTTCCACGTTTTTTTTTTTTTTTCTGGTCGGAAGAAAATTATTGTTCCTTTTTGTCTTTATGTATTTCAATGGTCACTCTAAAAGCTTTCATTATTGTAATTGCTCTTGCTTTTTATGTGCGTATGTGCACACACAGCCGGAAGATAGTTTTTGGAATGCCGAATGGAATCTGTCCATTGTTTAAAATCTCGTGTGCAATGTCGGATTAATAATAATAAAACTTTTTTTTTCACATTATGACCAGGGCACCTACGTAGATGATAAATGAGGCCATATTAAATTTGTCATCATTAAATTTTCTATGAGCGCTAATGCATAAAAAATTAATTAAGAAAAACACGCGCATTATGCCTTCTTTGTCCTTTCCTTTGTATTAAAATGGATAAATTTGTCGATTTTCCGACGCCTATCATTTGCACGGCGCTCATTACGGACACTAGTCAAACGATTTTCCGTAGCCAATGATGTTTCAGGGAATGGGCCTTGTGACAATTGTTTGATTAACCGGGACTTGCTGTCAATGTGCTGAAACTCTGGATGGCAAGAGAAATAAGTCGAAAACCATCCCTTTTAAATTGCCCAAATCATTGCATTAAAGATTTGTCAGGTTTTTAGACTGTAATCGATATCGCGGTACCAAACTTTACAGGAATGATGTTTGAAGGAAACAAGGGGGATGGAACCTAAGTTTGTATGCAATTGAAAAAAAAAAAATCTTTCTAAAATGCAATAAAATATACAACCTTTGATGGATCGATTAGTTGATTAATAATCGATATTCTATACGAAAATTGAATGGAATCATTTTATTTTTATAAGATAATACAATAAAACAATTATCAGATGATAATTACAAAAATAATAAAATATTGGAATAAGTCATTATTAATAAAGAATTTTTTTGTCCATGATTAAATTAATATAAAAAAAAAAATTTTTTTAACTCTCTATAAAGTTAGTTATATATGCTTTATTAAACATAATATAAACTATACTAAAAATGGTATTATTAAAGTCAAATTGTTAATTAACTTACTTGTCTTGATTTATTATCAAACTTTAAGTACAACTTTAAAGTGATTTGTCACTTTATTTATAATTTGAATCAATATTCTTCTATCTGGTGATCACAATGAATCAAATCGAATCAGATTTTAACTAGATTCAATTTGATCTAGTTTTTATAAATATGAATCAAATATGGATCCGATTTGTTTTAAACTGATCCAATTTGATTCAAAACTATAATAATTTGATTTGATTCTATTTTATATTAATTCAAATCTGATTTGATTTATTTTGAACCTATTTCAAAACATATTTAGTCATAACTACTTTGATTTAACTAAATTAAATTAAATATGTTTAAATTAATCTAGTTTTATTTTAATAAAAAATTTTTAATTAATATATTTACTTTTACTTTAAATTTAAAAATTTTTCTTTTATTAAATTTAAATAAATATATTTATTCTATCCATAATTATTCATTTGCTTCTATTTTTTTGTTTTTTTTTTTTAAAAAAATGTTGACTCAACCTTACTTTATTTGAAATAGTGGATATGTACATATATTGTAATATCTACCTATGCTTACCAAATATAGTTCAATAAAGAGACAATCTTTTAACTGTACTTATCTCACGGCTTGTTGCCACCTCATTTTGGAGGGAGTTAATTTATCAAAGCTGGGCTAGTGCTATATGAAAATTCCAGGATGGTAAAGGGTATAGTTATGTTTTGGATGGTTTTGTTCATATATTTGTTGACCAAATATATAAATTGGTCTTTGATATAGTTCTCTCTTTCTTTGAGCCATGGCTCGATTTCATGTTTGATGTATTTACTTTTTTTCTCCATCTTTTTGGTGATGCCTTGTTGTACTTTCCAGAGTTGAAAGTCTTCGCAACGTTTCTTTCATATCTCTTGAAGATAGTTTGTGATGTTTTTTTTTATTTCTATATAGCAATCATGTCTGTGTTGTTTTTCTGGAATTGCTTCATAGATAATTTGAGTTGTTTCCTTGAGAAAAGCACTTCTAATT